CTCCACGCACCCGGCCACCGTGCATGAGTGCGCGGCCCACCTGCGCGGGAGGCGTGTGGCGCTGCACAGCCATGGGAGCAAAGTGACCCAATGCCAGCTGGATTCACTGTCCAGGGCTTCCCTCCAAATCATCAGGGAAACAGTAAAAGTGTGCTCGCTCACCACTCCGGAGGCCAAAAAGTCAGCAGTCAGGGTGTCAGCAGGACCTTGTGCCTTCTGAAGGCTCTAGAGAAGGATCATCTGTCACCTAGTCCAGCTTCTGGGGGTGGCTGACAGTCCCGGGCATCTTGGGCTTTTGGCTGTGCTACTCCGGTCCCTGCCTCTGTTGTCACACAGCCTTTCCTCTCTGTGTATCTGGGGGTCTCCAAATGTCTGTCTTTATGAAATTCAGCCACTGGGTCTGAGGCCCATCCTAATTCAGTAGGAATGCATCCCAACTTGATTACATCTGCAAAGACCATATTTCTGGCCACATTCACAGATGCCATGGACTTCAACATGTTTTTGGGGGGGATCACGATTCAATCTCTGACACCAACATTTGCAGGTGTGTGTTTTCTTTCTTCCTGGTCATGTAGGGAATGAACTACAGAATTGGGGAATGCAATATACATGCATGCCCAATACCTAACGTAGACTCCTGGACACCCCTGGGCTGTGTTCATGCTCACCCACCATTGTTGCGAATGTGATTTTCTTTGCTCTTAACTTTAGACGTTAGTAGCTTGTTTTTATGTCCTTAAGAGCGTATTTCTGCTCTCATGGACTATTTCACCTGGGAGAGATTGAACTTTCTCACAGCCAAAAGAGATGCCCCAGGGTTGTGGAAATAGAACAGAAAGCCAGTTTTCAGCATTGGAGGGAACACTTGAGGGTCCAGGATGGCATGAGATCTTGCCTGGCTCTGGGCTAAGGGGTTGAGAGCAGATTTAATGACTGTGGTCTGTGATGCTCTGTCGACCATGGGGCCCTTGTGCATCTCCTGGCTATTTGGAACACTCCAGTATCTCCAAGGCAGTGTGTGCCTTTGGAAGCTTTGTGGCCAGGAACCCCTAGTTCCCTCATACCAGAAACACTTTTCTAAGCAAGGAACTGAAGCAATGTGAAGAAGAAAGATGGTGCTCTTAACGCATCCTGGAGAGGTTTGGAAAACATTGTGTATCCAGAAGCAGCTCTGCCCATGTGGGCCGCAGCCCTGGGAGCTTTTTCCTTTGTTTTGTTGTTTTCTTTTTCCTTCTCTGGCAGATGTTTGTATGGAAATGTGATCTTTAATTCCTTAAAGACCTATCTCTCTCGAATTAATTTCTCTTTTGAAGTTATAATCTTTTATGTAATGCTTTCTGATCACCTTGACTCCAAGTCAAGTGTTAAGTGTCACAGAAGGGAAAATCGTGTGGGCTTTCTGCTTGCAACTTGGGCATACAAGAAATAACTACAGCGGTTGGAGGCCAACACATGGAGGTAGCCAGTTTCCGAAGTCCCCTGGAAATGGAATGTGGCTGTCTTGTGTCATTTCTTGACAACTACCATCTGATTTAATTCTTTCATAAATACAGAAGGCAAACAAATCTGATTTTCTTGGGCATCACCATGATGATGGATATTTCCCCATTACTTACAAAGAGGAAAGCTGCAAATTCACAGGAATCCTCCAGGTTTGGGACACAGCAACTGGTCACGACGGGCCTCTCTTTAGATTCACACTGCTCAGAGTTGCTCGTGGAGGAGATAGAAGGAAAGAGCTTGCCACTTGTTGATATTTGCCTGCTCTGGCTAAAGCCTGAAGCCCCTCCTGGATTTGGAGCTACTTCGGGAAACACGTTGGATGTGTTCTTGGGAGCTCTGTTGGCTATTTCCAGCTCCCCAGGGCTTGAACAGCCACAGACTTGTGTCGAACTGCTGTGCGGGTCTCTGCTCTGGATTCCTCCTCTGAACCCTGCATAACGTGGGAGTCAACAGGATGGTTCCACCCAGAAATGGAAGGGAAGTACTCAAAGATGCCATGTTCGTTCTTATCTCCTCGCCGCTCTGGCTGCTTGAGAATGGCCAACAAGAAAAGGACTAGCTCTACTGGATTGGTGGGAAACATTCCATATTCATAGTTGTTCAGCTTGACCTGTGCAGTAGAATAACACGTTTTTCTGAATGAGACTCAGGCTGTCAGCCTCTTCTCGACCTAAATGGTGAGGACCACACAGATGAGCACTCGTTTAGAGAACAGTGCACCCCCCATTTGCTAAAAGGCACGTTGTGAATGGAACTTTGGAAAGAATAATTTCCCATGCATTTATGTTCTCTCGTTTTCTTGTTCTATTAGAAATGTCCAAACAGATTCAGTGTGTGGGAAGGAAGCACACATTAGCACTAAGTAATGAAGAAAACGCACTAACACTAAGCCATTTAAGTTTGTTCGATACATTCCTTCTTCTGTGTTGCAGGAGACCTGGATGCTGAGCGCCTCGAGGAATGAGTAGTTCCCGGCTTTTCTCCTGGGTGGATGGCAGGAGTTGGTGGGGCTTATTTGGAGAACCTCTGTCCTTCCATTTGGGAAGGCGCTCAGGCTGAGCAGAGCAGGAGAATGAGGCGCCGGCAGCTCTGATGTCAGGGCGGTTGTGATAGGTCACCCTCTGGCCCCACCCATTCCCAGCCTGGTCCCCTGCAGGCCAGGCTGGAAAGCCACCCTAGAGAATGTGGATGAAGGTTGACTCCTTGGTGTCCAGGAAGTCCGTGGATACCCAGGCAAACCCACAGGGACAGACTCTTCTAGTAAGTCTTAGAGAAGGGCAAAGCATCAGGGCACATGGTGCTTAAGAGCATGGCTTCGGATCCCCGACTGGTCTCACCTGCTAGTGTGTCCCCTTTGGCATGTCACTTGACTTGCTTTCATCAGTTGAAGCTTTTAGAATTGGGCATCTAATGGATACTTAGCTTTAACTATTATTATGTCTGCCTAAGTAAACGTACACAAGCATTACAGTGTCCGGATCTGCTGCTGGTCACCCAGAGAGCCCGAGGAGGCTGGCCGGTGTTTAACAAGGTGGTGTGCTCATGATTTATTTAGCTCTTGGCCCTTGAGGCCTTAGTGGCCCACTCTGGATGTGGCACTCTTGTCCTTGCAGCAGTGACAGGGTTTGGGTCTGTGGTATCTGATGAGAAGCCTCTCCCTCGAGAGAGGAGAGACAGCTCTGTGTGAGGGTTACACATCTGTAGTCATGTGTCATCCCTCACCTGCCCTTGGAGCACACCTTTGACATCTTAGCAGGCCTGTGTATTTTAGCACAGAGGTCTGAAGAGGTTCGGAATCCAGCTGCTATGCTGGTAAAACGTCCCTCAACTCAAGAAGGCGGTTCCCAGTAAAACTAGTTAATATTTATTGAGTGTCATTATTTGCCAGGCATTGCTCTGAGGGCTTTCCCAGTATAGACTGACTTACTCTTCACAGCATTCCTACAGGCTAGTTAGTAATTTTATCCTGTCCTTTTCGTTGAGGAAACTGAGGCTCAGAAGAGTTAGTAAAGGGTGCAAGGTCATACAAAGATGATACAGCTGATATTTGAGGCTGGGACCATGGCTTCAGTCCTGTAAACCATTGTCGACATGAATCACTGTGCGATGAACGGTTAGCCCTGGTCCTGCCTTCCCAGTGACAGGGACTCAGGGGCTGCTCTGAAGCACAGCATTGCCCACACTGTTTATGGAGGGGTTGCCATGTGCCCCACCCTTGGACTCATCCTCTGGAAGAGGAGGGAGGCAACGGTGAGCAGCCCTTTGTGATCGGTGTCCTTCTGGCAGTGGAAATAAAGAGCCAGAGAGAAAGGATCCAAAAAGGGAATGAGTAACTTGGTGAAGGGGAAGGAAATGCTTCCTGGGGCCATGACTTCTCAGCTAGGTTTGGTGGAATAAATAGGAATTCACTAAGCATACTAAATTGGACACGGCAGGCAGCAGGGTCTTTTAAAGGTGGGGGACAGCAAGTCCTTTAGCATGGATGGATGAATGATAAGAGTGGGCGGGGGGGGGGGGAGTGGGTAATCCTGTTTGTTGAGACCGGAGAAGCAGAAAGAGCCAGAAGACAGAGGGCCTGCTTTGCCGTGCCAAGGAACCCAACTTTATACTGGCCAGGTAGACAATTTAATATCATAGTTGTAAAAATAAGGTCACAATCTCCAAACCTTGATGCAGTTAGTAGTATTAGTTTTTTTTTCCCTCTGATTTTATCATCATGATTATTGAAGAAAAATCTGATGTGTGTTGCTACTGTGTTAAAGAATGTTGGGTTTTTAATCTCCTCCACTTGTTTCTCTTTTTTTTTTTATCAGCAATTCTCTGGCAAAAGTTATTTTCATATGCCAGGATAAGTACTTTTGAGAGTTTTTTTTTAATGTTTTCTTAAGTGGCCTTTGATTGCATAAGAGTATCATGCAGAACTGTTTCCAGTAGTATCTTTATAGCCGGAATGGAGGCTAAGACTGATTATGTAATTGTTCCCTTAATTTATTCTCAGAACCTAACATGCTGCCAGCATATAAAAAAAAAACCCCAACGATCACAATGGCATCTAAGTGACTCTTGCTCACGGTTTCTGGCACTATTGCTTTTGCATCATTCACTGCAGAGGAGAAATGGATGGTTCCAGTGTGGCATGACTGTTGGCAGCACTGGGCGCTCCAGACTCATGGCTCTGTCTGCTCTGTCCTGCCGTGCAACCCACAGCCAACTCTCGCTAGAGAGGATTCGTGTGTACTCCTTAGAGACCCTCGCCAGCGTCTGGCATGTTAACCTTTGGCTGAGGAGAGGCGGCGGACTTCTGCTGCGCTGAGGTTGCATTTTGCAAGGAGCACAGAATACCATCTGTCAGAGGAGGCGCGGGAGTGTGCAAATATTGCTGTGAATTCCACAAATGCTTAATTGCTACAGTTGTTTCTTTTTTTTTAATTTAACAGTCTTTGCATTTAGTTTGTTTGTTTGTTGTTTGTTCTTTTTTTTTTTTTATTTTTTAGAATAGTCCTTATCAGTGGCAGAAGATCCTTCTGTAGTATATTTTCAGTGCTGCCCTATCGTGACAGTGCCCAAGTTGGGTATGTATATGCATGCTTGCTTTATAGTTCTCTGGGTGAAAAGTTGTGACACCATGTGCGTAATGTGGTTGGCCTTCCCATTTCAAAGAACTTGCCTTGCTTTGACACTGCAAATTCAGTACTTGTAAATTTGAAAGAAAGAAAGCTCCACTTTCTTTTCAGCCAGAAAGCTTCCTTGTTATTTTGTGTGTGTGCATGTGTGTGTCCTCACCGTGTGGCCTGCTGTTTCCAAATGTGCATTTTGTCACCTCTTCCAATACTGTAAAGCAGGAGCAATCCGGGGACCCACCCCATTCCTCAGGGCCATGTCGACTTTTGGAGAAAGGTAGGTGAAGAAAGGAATCAAAACAAACCATGTGAACGTCCTGCCTCTTGCATCTTGGGCTTGGGGCTGGAAACTGACCAGCAAGCTGGAGCAAATAACAAAGCAAAATGGTACCAGGAACAGACCTCTGTGATTCACCACAGGCCAAAGGAACGCTTACTTCTCTAGCTCAACAAGCCCTTCCTTTTGCTCTGAAGAAAAGTAGGTAAGTGAGGCTCTGTCCTTGCAGAGCCTCCCCTTTAGTCCCCGTGCCAAACTCTGTGCTCATCTCCTCTGAGTCTTTGCAGCCTTGCCCCTCACTTGTTACTGCATCCGGTGTTGTCAGGGAGCTGCTGGTATTTAGGGTAGGACAGCTCACCCCATAGGATGCCAGGAATCTTGAGGGATGTTGGCTATGGCCTCTACAAACTAAGTGTTGGAATTGCCCCCTAGACACTGTGACAACGACACACTACCCACTCATGACCATCGCCCCAAGGGAGGGCGGTGTGGCCCCTGGTGCTGATTCACCATTTATTCATCTTCCACCATATTGCACGAGCTCTTCCGTGGTCATGCCTGTTCACCATGGCTTTCCTTCCCCCCACCGTAGATCTGTCAGACTCGCACCCATTCAACTCACCACGGTCCTTATTTGTACTCTACACCGTAAGCTTCTTCGGACAGAAAGTAACACATCTTCATGGAATTCTGACTCAGTCATTTATTAGACGTGTGCCTTAAAGAGTAGCAGTAATCTTACTGTTGATTGAGCACGTACTTTGTGCCGGTCCTTTTCACTCCCTGCATCTTTACAACAACCTTGCAAAGTAGGTGTTCTCGAAAAAGTAACAGCAAACCCTTCAGGTCAGGGGTTCAAGGATCACCTGGGCGTGGCCGGCAGAGCTGCCCGCAAGAGACCTCATGAGGAGGCTTGCGTGACCTTACCGACCTGCTGTGGTCCCAGGTTTGGCTGCACCTGAGAGCAGGCTTATTCCCTGTGGACACTAGTTGGTACCAGCTCACAGACCTCTATGTGACCCAGAAGGCCAGTTCATTAATCTTACACAAATCATCACCCCAGGGCCCAGATTATTTCAGTGTGACCAGCCTGTGAGCACATTTCCAGGGAGATCTGAATCAGCCGTGGAAGGCTCTGTGCAAGTATGTCCTCTCATGGCCAGCTTGGGTGGCCACTGTGGGGTTGGCCTTATTTTTCTATTTTTCTGGGCTTCCCTTGCTGACCTTTCTGATTGATGTATTCTTCCTTTGGCCATGGTCCATTTATTCATTTATTGAGTTCTTTTATGTGAGTAGGTGCTGGGATAAAGGTGGGCCTGGTTCCTGTCTCTTGGAACTTAAAACCAAGAGGGGGAGACACATTAAAATTTCACATACAATTAATTAGCACTTTTAATTAATGCTAAAGATGTTCGGTCAGGTGACTGCCAGCTCTTCCTGGCTGAGAACTCATTCGGTTTCTGTAACGCAATCTCACTTCTCTGTGCTTTTGTCTTAGAACTGTTCCATGTTTGTTTCATTCTGGAATGGTGCCTTTATTTCCAAGTTCTGGGGCCCCCTTACTATGGTACCCAAGTACTTATCCCCATTTTATAGATAGGACCACTGATCCTCAAGAGTTATGGTCTCAAACATCAGCTTTGGGCCAGAATGGGAGTTTGAACCCAAGTCTGTCCAGCCGTAGGACTTTCCACGACTCAGTCTGGCCAACAGGCAAAACAAGTTCCATATTCACAGAAAGCCGTCTGTGAAATGGAGCTTTTATGATAACTGTCTCGCAGAGGTGAACTAAGACTCACAGGGCGACTGACTATACGAGGTCCAGCACAGCACCTCACACAGAGGTAGATGGGGCCAACTTGTCAAGGACCCCAAATTTCTTTTTTTTCCTTAAGATTTTATTTATTTGACAGAGAGAGACACAGCGAGAGAGGGAACACAAGCAGGGGGAGTGGGGGAGGGAGAAGAAGGCTTCCCGCAGAGCAGGGAGCCTGATATGGGGCTTGATCCCAGGACCCCAGGATCATGACCTGAGCCAAAGGCAGATGCTTAACGACTGAGCCACCCAGGTGCCCCAAGGACCCCACATTTCTTAAGTAAACGCAATGTGGGGAACGATGAGGAGAACTTGGGAGACTTGTAGTTTTCTGCTTGGGCGAATCGCTCGCCTCTGTGAGCCTCTGCTTTTGTTCCTCTGTAGGGTGGGGATCGCAAGTTGCTACCGGTGTCATTAACTTTGAAGATCACTGCATTTTACGCAGAGCTCGTGGGAACATATTTTAACTTAAACTGCCCAGGAAGAGATCACCCAGACTATCTGTTTGATATCCTTATTAGAAATGCATGGCCGTCCCCATCTTTGACACCTGGAGGAAATGCTAGCTGGCCACCAGGGTACAGGGAGAGGGGCGGCCGTCACTGCCTGGGTCTCCTTGACTCCCACTGGGAGGGTCCCGTGTGTTACAGGGGAGATGGCACAGGGTGGCCGGCTCGCTCAGCTCTCCAGCTGCTGGCCCCAGAGGAAGCAGCAAAGTGTGTTTAGGGGGATCACAGGGCATAAACTTTAGATCTTTGACATGAATAAACTCTACTCCTTCAAACTTTACAAATGAGGAAACCAAAGTGCAGTAAGGTTAATTTTCTGTAACAGAAAAACACCAGGTCCTTTGTAATGCCTGACAGAGAAAAGAACATGCCTGTTTCTGTAGTATATTCTGCTTAAGAACTCACACAAGAAGCTACGAACACCATTCAAAATATTGTAATTTAGCAGCAGGATGAAGAAGCAGTACTGCTTTGTAAATTTTTTGATAAGCAGACATCCTATTCATGAATAACTGCCACTTAAAACTAGGATTGTTTTTATTAAGTATTGGGAAATCGCTATACTCAAGTAATGGAAGTATTTATACTGGTAAATTATATACATACATACTTTATGGTACTTTAGTTCATGCCTGTATTAACTAATACCTTTCTGCTGGAGTTCTCGGTGTGACTGGGACACAAATCCAAGCATTGCAGGGGTGGGAAGGATTTCAGAGATGACGTGGCCTGGCCTCCTTGCTTCATAGCTGGGGCCCCTTGGGCACAGGGGTGGATGCCCAGCAGAACCAGCAGCTCCAGAACCCAGTACTCCAGCCACCTTAGCCCATTGACTTTGTGGTTTCTGGTCGCCATTTTTCTGTTGTGCTTATGCACATGGACTGAGCCACAGGCGCCTGATTATTCCAGACAAGCGTAAACCCCCCCTGCTAAAAGGGATGGTGTCCAGCTCCAACTTCATCATAAGGAAGTTTTAAAAACAGGAAACTCAGAAGTTCATCCAGTGTGTACTTGAACCTCTTTTATGAGGAAAGCATCTATCAGGATGGCCTTATCTCTTTCCGGCTCTGTTTTCTGGCTTCTCCTGCTGCGCTGGAGCTTCCCAAGTCTGGCTCTCACGTCTTGGCTGGCCCTGACCCCAAAGCTTTGTTCTTGGTTTTAAACTGAACTGAGCACTTACTTTGGCTCCTGACATCAGTTGAACAAAGCAGACAGGCCAGTCTGAGGAGAGGTTTTACTAGTTATTCGTTCATTTACTCATGCGTTTCTTCTGCCCCTATGGGTACAAGGCCTTGATGGAGGCTGGGAGGGTTTAGGGATGAGTAAGACCCACTCTTCAGGAGCTTATTACCAAGCTGGAAGCCAGACATGTAAACAACCAACCCAGCACAACTTGGGAGTCCCAGAGAAGTGCTACGGAGTGCTTTAACTGCCCCCAGATCTTTAGCAACACCCACATTTATATTGTATCTACTATTGGCAGTAAAAGCCAAGAGCTTGCTGTGTAAGTCTCCATCCCCTCCCAAGTATATTGCCACCCGTGCCTGCCTCCTGAGTAGAAATTCAGGCACTACTACGGCACAGCAGGATTTACTCATTCACTCCACAGAACCCATCAAACCTACATGTGCCAGGCACTGTTCTAAGCAGTAGGGATACAGTGGTGAACATGAAAATGTCTCTTGACTTGTCACCCTCTAAGGGTAGGAGACACAAACCAGCTAGTAAAGACAGTGACCATCAGATGCAAGAACAAACAATGAAGTGAGTCCTCAGCAGTGTGCAGCTGGAGCACAGAGGAAGGTGCTCAAGGAACTCAGGGATCAGGGAGTGCTCCCCAGAGACAGCAGCTCTTAATCAAGACTTAGAAGTATGAGGTCTTGGAGAAGCGGAGAAGGATTTTTCCAGCCTCACTGTTGATGTCTGAGGATATAGAAGGTGGTCTGGCCCCTTGTGAACTGCTTGGGGGTGGGGTGGGGATTCCCTATAACGCCTGGCACGTTGAGAGAATTGGGTAAAGCACCATCCCCGCAGGACCCCCATTGCTGACCCAGACTGCAGCGATTTCCCCTAGGTAGTGAGGGGAGGGGGTAGAGACAGAAGTGAGCTGTCCTGGACGTCACGGCCACAGGCCCATCACTCAGCCTGCTCCAGGTCTCAGTTCGTACAGTGTGGAGGTTTGACTAGACTCTCCAGAGATCCTGCACACTCCGTTCTCATCCTTGTCAATTTTGCTAATGTGGAAGCTGTTAAGTCTGGTTGAATGAGGAGTTTATGAATGAGGCATGCTGTTCACACTTTCCATCCACTGACAATCAGCTGCTAGAACTAGAGCTCCTATCTGAATAAT